GTGTGCTGAACAATTCCTAGACACTTCCTACACCAATGCTCCCTTAACACTTCTCTGTGGCACCCAGTCCTTTACCCCTCAATTGCCTTTCTTTTTACTGTCACTCAGGTCTTTGGGTGGCCTTGGGTAAATACATGCATAGGAAGGCTGTGGCAGCTTGTTTGCCTTTTCATTTCCCCTTCTCCCTTTCTGTTCCTGCACTGTGCTAAAAGGGTCTCACGATTGTTAGCCTGGGTGAAAGCCTGAAAAACAGAGCACACAGGAAACGCTTCTACACCAGCAATAGCTAATCCTGTCCCCAGCTGAGTGGTTCAGAAAGCAGGAAACTTTCCACCAGCTCCAAGACACACCAGAATTTAGTACTGGGAGGTCAAACATCAGCGTATGATGCCTGGGAGTAAACGAAGCTGTATGAGAATGTCAGTTGATTTTTTTTGCTGTGTTTCTCTGACAGTCTGACATTTTGCCCTCCCTACAGACAGCCTGCCTGCCGGAGGAGTTGCTGGAGACTGTTCTGGAGCACATCCGACTGCTGCTGCCACGAGACCCCAGCCAGCCACAATGTACTGCCTGCAGTGGTTGCTCCCTGTCCTGCTCATACCCAAGCCCCTCAACCCGGCCTTGTGGTTCAGTCACTCAATGTTCATGGGATTCTACCTGCTCAGTTTTCTCCTGGAACGGAAACCTTGCACGATTTGTGCCTTGGTCTTCCTGGCAGCTCTATTCCTCATCTGCTACAGTTGCTGGGGGAACTGCTTCTTGTATCACTGCACAGGATCCCAGTTGCCGGAATCAGCTCACGATCCCAGCATAGTGGGCACCTAGAAAACCATAACCTTCCAGTCTGCTGAGGGCTCTTGTTTGGCTTTTAAATAGGGGATGGGGCTGGGGAGGAGGGGGGTGTTAGGTATGGGACTGGAATAAGGACTGCCTGTTTCCTGTAACTGTGCGTGGACTAGAGTGGCAAGTTCCTCCCACTCTGCCTGTGAAATTCGACTCGTTTACTGTGTGAACTCTGGCAGCACCACCTGCTTTTTTAGAAGCAGAAGTCTTTTTTTTTTCCTTCCCGTATCACCGGGAACAGACACCAGCCCTCCCAACCGAGAACTGCTGAAGGCCTGAGCCACTGGCCCCTGGTGGCAGTGGTGGAGTTGTGTCACTGGTCTGCATTAGGCCACGGTGGTCTAACTCAGGGCTCTCGGCCCTCTGATCCTGCTCGAGTAGCTACAAGATTCTCTCAGTCTCTCTTTGTGGGGAGCCACCTTTCCACTTTGCTGATCAAGGGCAAATGCTACAGCTCACAGATGCACTTGGCCAAAAGCTGCTGGGGCCAGAGGCAGTTGAGTCACCTCCTCCTGCTCAGCCTGCCAAAGAGATGTGTGCAGTGCCCAAGTGCTTTCTGAACTCCATATGCTCCGAGATGATCCCAGCCTGAAAGCCTCAGTTATGCTGCTGCTTTTATAAAGCCTCACAGGCAGCAGAGACTCTCTCTTCCCCTCCTCCTAGATGTCCAGGGTTTACCAAGGTATTGACTGTTGGGATAAAGAACTGGCGTGCTGCAAGACACAGGGTTTTAGAAGCCACTGTGAACTTCACCCTACAAAACCTGTGCTAGCCCAGGAGTCCGGGTGTGGGCAGGGCAGGAGAGGGTCCTGAGGTAGAGGCATGGCTTGAAGCAGTAAGTGCTTCAACCATTTTCAGTGTTAGCGTTTTTGGGCTAGTGGTGACAGAAGGTGCTGGTGCTACTGACTGGAGAAGTGCTGAGGCTGGAAAAACACCTGATATCTCCAGCTTCTCTGGCAGAAGGATGTCAAGCAGCTGAGGTGGTGGTGGGTCAAGCCTAAAGCTTGGGGCAGAGGTTGGTTTGTGAGAAGCCTTAGAGGTTGACACAAAACACTCGTCTCTAAACTTTAAAGGTGTCCCTCCCCTTTGCCCTCTGTTCGTCTTTCCTTCAGTCTCCTGCTGGAGAACAGCAGAAGTGGCTGTTGCTGTCCTGAGGCAGTTCAAGCTATGAGGTTGTGAAACTTCCAGAGTATTGTTTGTTCATTGCACAGCTGTTCAAAATGTTTAATAAAGCTTTATAAACTTTGGTCTATGGCCTCCTGCCCAGCATGATGTGTTGGCTGCTCATTGTGGATGCCTTAGCCCAGCAATCATGTGTTTCTGCATTGTTCTGTTCCCAGCACAGTAACCCCGGAGCTGAGTCTCCAGCAAGAGGGAGAGCCTGTTTGCCCTGTAGCTCCCAGTACTGATTCTTCTCCTTGACTGGTTAACCTGACCATGGGCAGAGTGGGAACCAGACTGGCAATTCCTAAACAGGCTCATCTCACAGCCAGAAGCACCTCCTGTGTATCTCTGCACTTACGTGACAGATTCCCCCTTCTCTTACTGCTTATGAAATAAACCCCCAGAGCTGTGCCCTGGAAGCCACTAATCCCTGGTGCCGACAGTAAAAGTGTCTGCCGGGAGCTCACGCCATGTAAGCCCATCCCACGACACCACATAAGCCCAACTGTCCCTCTGCTCGGGGCAGAGACCTGCCTGCAGCCCAGCTGAGCTGTGGTGCTGTGAGCCCTTCCCAGCCTGGGCTGTAGGACTGGGGGAGAAGGAGCACCTGAGAATGGCACAGGGTGTGGGAGCTGCTGGAGCTGACACTGGCTTGCTCTACCCTTGCTGTGAAGCCCAGGTCCAAGTTGGAAAGAGTTCAGGGCATATTAGTGTTTACACGATTAAAAAAAGCGTGTGCCACATCAAAAATAGATGTGACAGCTCTGTCACCTGTCAGGCCGAGGGAAATCCCAGTAACTGTCACATCAGCATAAATAAATGGAGAGGGGAGGGCACTCACTCTTGCCTGTTCTCTGAGCGACTTTTAAGTTTCAATGTACTTAAGCTAATGCAGTCAGTTCTTTCAAGAGTCCTTTTTTGTTGCTCACTAGCCAAGTTGCACTTTGCAGCAATTTAAATAAATCCTAGCCACGAAGCCAGACAGCCCTTTTTGTGAGAGCAAGCCCTGGCTTTGTACATGGGGTTCAAGACAAGGTGCAGCTTCAGGCCTTCCCTTCTGTGAGACCCAGTGCAGAGTAAAAAGCACTTCAAAAGAGGGAGTCTGCAGGAGAGCTCTCGGTAGACTGATGGGGTTAGAAGCCTCCCACACCAAATGCAGAGAAGGAGCACTCTTTGATGTGCACATAGCCCTCCACAACACACTGTCTTACCCTCTTTAGGGCCCTGAGATACCATCTTCATTTTAAAGATAGAAAATTAAAGCAACTTCGTCATGGTCAGACAGAAAGCCTCAGGCAGAGTGAGGAACCCAACCAGGTCTCACATCCCATGCTAATGCCTGGCTTGTCCTCTATAAAGAGATTGAAAAACCAGCCTGTGACTGCAGAACAGGTCAGACCCGATGGCTTCTGAAGAGCATCATCACAGCTTCCCTGCCTGTGCACCGCAGATTGGGCCGAGCCCGTGCAGACACAGCCTGTGCTGGCTGCACCCAGGGACGCTCGGAGCTTTGGCCCTGCTCTCGAGGAGTTTCTCTGCCAGAAGAGCAGGGGGGTGGCTCTGTCCCCAGGGATGTGTGGGGACTGCACCGGCAGGCAGCTACACCGGGGACTCAAAGCAGTGGGATTTCAAACACAGCCGCTGTGCTGTGCCAGGCCCCACTGAACCTGGACACTGCCCGCAAGTGTCACTTGACACTTTGGCACAGAGCAAGTCTCATCACCTTGCTGAATTACAGTGTCCATCTGCCTGATGCTCCCTAGATACAGGGAGCAGGAGCCTTAAGCTGTTTCTTTGTCTTTCCATATGAAGGAGAGATCATTTTCTTTTCTAGGTCACATAACAGATCAGTGACACAGCAGGGTCAGTAAAGGGAAAAAACAAATACAGAAAAAAGCCCAGGCTCCAATCCCTAGAAACAGAGATGGCAACCAAGTCCAGAGGCACAGTCCTGCTCCCAATAGCACCAGCCTTCCATGGCCTCCAGCCTCTTCCCCTCACACTGTCACCCTGGGAATGGTCCAGCCAAACCCCTGGAAAGCCACAAACATCACTCAGTGGCACAGAGCCCTGCCATTGCCCTTTGGCACCAGCTGGTTTCCCAGCCGTGGGATCTAAGCTGAAGTCAGGTAAGGACTTTAGCCCTTCCCTCCCAAGCCTAGAGATTAACCCCTGATGAGAGGGTTTTGCTGCTCCTCAAGCAAAGGCAAATCTTGTCACAGGGCAGAGACAGGCTGTGTCCTCTTGAGTCAACACATGCTGGCAGCCTCCTGTTCACCCCTTGCTACCAGTGAGCACCAGGGGCTGTGGTGACACTGGCAGCAAGACCTGAGAGCCTGACATGGGGGCACAGCCCTGCCATGAGCCAACCCTTTAATGAACACCACCCCACTCCTGCCTCAGGAGACCTTCTGCTGGGTCTGGCCTGTGGGAGAGACCCCAGACCCTCAGCACAACTCAGGATTTGCTGTTCAGGGCTGCTGCCTGTGGTGACCAGCCCACCCTGAGCCCACACACTGCAGGGGGACCAAGGGACCAGCACCATCGCTTAATTCTTTTAAAGACAAACAACACATAAAGCAATAAACATTGAAGGTGATAAGACCGAGTCACTTACCAGTCCAAGATGGAGGGAGCAGCCAGAGCGGGGACTTGGGGCACTAAAGCCACTACAGACCACGTGGATGATAAAGGTAGTGGTGAAGGAGGAACATCAACCATCCTGCTCTCAAAGGGCCTACTGCTCCCAAATGTTATCAATTACTTAATCATCCCAGTCAGCACCCACTAATCACCCAGAGAGAGCAGGTCTGCTTCTTGTGAGTGCTGCTGAAGCAGATTCTGCTGATGGGGCACTGCCCCTGCCCTGTCCCCTCCAGCCTTCCCATTGGCCCTGCACAAGCTCCAGGATCCAGCAGCTCCTCCATCACAGGTGCTAAGGAGCTCACGAGGTCCCTCACACATGAGCTACACTTTTGTTTTGTGAGGTCTGTTTGTATTTAATTATCAAATTGCAAAGTATTTACATCCACGTTAGAGTTTCAAAGCATCTCCACCCCCCCACCACCCACAAAGCTGGACCTTTTTTAGGTTTTTTCCCCAGTTTTATTATTATCCAAAAAAAAAAGACCCAAACAAAAAAAAAAAAAAAAAAAGAAAAGCTAAATATTTTACTTAGACATCAAAAAAGGCAGGTGAGGGAAGCTGGGGAGAGACACAGATCCACATGTTCTCTGCATAGTCGGTTGGAGATCTTTTACAAAAGACTGTGTAAAAAAATTATAACAGCAGAGGAGAATGACTTACAGGATTTGATGGGGTCCAGGAAGCCAAAAAGCATCCTTAAGTGGGGGCTCCCCTCTGGAATTTATTGGCTTAACAAATAAACTGCCAGCCAACACTGGGGGTGGAGGGGAGGCTCTGAATCCCCGGGACCTCCGGGCCCTGCTGGTTGTGGTGGCGAGTCTGGAGATGCTGAGTCCCAGCAGAGCTGCTGCACAGAACCACGAGGGACACACGGACACGAGGACACACAGCCCTGTGCAGGAGGGCTCCTCTGGCATTGCCTTACTGTCTTCTGCCCTGAAATGTCCCCAGCACGTCTCCTCTGGCAAAGCTTCCCGAAATCCATGGGGCATTAAGCCAGCCCGGGGCGCTCCTTGTGCCTGCTGCTTCCAGGGAGAGCCAGAGCTGGAGCTGCCGGGTGAGCAGGTCCAGGCTGCTCCTGACCCCCTGTGCCCACAGGAGAGCCTGCACGTGCCGCAGACACCCAAAGGCCAAACTGAACTCGTGGGCCTGCCTTCTCTCTCCCCAGCTTCCAGACCAAATCTGGCTTCTCCCAGGGATGGGGATTTTGTGGAATTCAGGCAGAGCTGTGGCACAGGCCACAGGCACCATCCACCCCTCGGAAGGGCTGCCAAGGGACAGGGTGTCCCTGGTAGTGCCAATGGGGACATGGCAGCTGCCCATCCCAAAGGGCTGCAAACAGGGGAAGACCCAGAACATGGAGGTTTGGGGAGACCCTACCCAAACACAGAAACCTGTAAGGAAGGGAGTGGGGGAGAAAAGGTTCCAACTTTCGAAATGATTTAAAAACAAATCCATTAATCCAGTCGCTGTTCTTCAAGCCAGCAGGATCTCTCCATCCAGCTGAAGAGCCTGATCAAGCTGATTTTGAGGGTTTTACTCAAAAAAGGAGCCATTAACCAACCAACCAACCAACCAAGTCCTTGGTTCATAAATAAGCGTGCAGGGAGCTGTGGGAGTGAACGGGAAGCAGTGTTGTGCCTGAACCCTGCTCTGGTGGAGATTTGGGGTGGGGCTTTTGGCCACCCCTGCCCACACTGGGCTCCCACCCAGCTTTCCTGGGACACTGGTACCATGGCAGGGACTGGTAAGAGGAGGGTTGGGTCTGCTGCCCGTGACGAGGCTGTGCTGGAGGGACAGCCCATCCCACAGGTGATGGGGAGGCACAGAAAGCCCCCTGCCTGAGGACTGAGAGGTGGGTGAAGCCACTGGCTCCCCTCTCTGTGTCCTTCCCCCCAGCACTCCTGCCCTGCAGCACTCCCCAAGCCCCCATCCCACCATGGCCCAGGAGAGCATCTGAAGACCCCCCAGGTTTTTCTGAGCGAGTGGGGCTGGCACCCGAGAGGTGAGGGAGAGAAGCTTTGTGAACCACCACAGTGAAGGGTTTCCAGCTGGATACAGCCACAGGAGGGGAAAACCAACCCATGCAATGAAATCTAGGTCTGGGAGGGTGTGGGGACCACTCAAGGGTTATGTACAAGCAGGCGCTGAGTGGAAGAGGGAAGGGACTGGGGTTTGCCACACAGAGTCTGGGAATCAGCCCCACGGGATATGTGTGGGGCAAAGCTGGGCAGGGATAGCCACCCACCTCTGAAACATGGCTGAGGACTTTGGGAGCAAGCAGGGGGGAGATGAGGATGCAGATGTGGCACAGCACTTCCCAGGATTCTTCTCTGGGATGGTGGCATGTGGCTTGGGATGCTGCATGGGGGCTGCAACCTGGCAGCTGAGACATGAGGGGCAAAGGGAAGCCAGCTAAAAACGTACCAGGTGAACAAAAGCATCTGTGAAAGATGAGTATTTCCCCCAAAACACTCCCAACACCCTGAACAGCTACATGGGCCGTGCACCCAACCCCCACAGTGGCAGTGGATTTGGTGGCAGGGCCAGCCCGGGGGACTCTGCTGGTGGGACAGCTGGTGGTAGAACCAGGGGTGGAGGCTGAGGGGCACTTTACAAGGAGGTGGCTGGAAGACCTGGAGTGTGTGGTGGGAGAAAACACAGCAGGGCAGCAGGGCTGGCTGCAGACAGGGCAAGGGCTCTGTCAGCATCCCCTGTGCCACTCCCAGGAGGGGAGACAAGTCCCCTGGGGGAACAGACACAGCTGGAAGATTTCATCGTGTGCCCAGGTGCTCCTATGGGACAGTGTCCATCACCAGAGCCACGAGCAGTCACATTTCATGGTTCTAGAACCCACTAGCCATTGAGGTCATGGCAAGGCCAGAGGGACCACCAGAGTTCTGCTGCCATCCCACGCTGGCACCACCATCCAGTGCATCACCCCCTTTGAACCAGCCAGGGATTGTGCCATCATGACACTGAGCTTAGCTCAGTTGGTTAGAGCATGGAGCTAATAACACCAAGGTCGTGGGTTTGATCTCCGTGTGGGCCATTCACTTAAGAGCTGGACTTGATGGTCCTTATGGGTCCCTTCCAACTCAGCATTCTGTGATTCTGAATCTGTGGTGAAATGTCTCTGCCAGCATCCTCAGGGGAACCGGAGCCAAGGGGGAGACAGTGGAGAGGCTGAAGAGGCAGGGAAATTTGTGCTGATTTAGAAAGGGGGTGCAGGAGACTGGGGCCATGTGTCTGAGGTGGAGTGATGCTGTCCCCCAATCCCTCCAGGCTCATCCCAGAGCTGTAGGGGGGAAAAGTCTCCCAAAAGCCAAGTCTCTTGGCAGGAGATGCTCTGCTCGCCCTCCCGAGCCAGCTCCGCCGGCGCCCGCGGGCTCCTCTTGCCAGCGGGACAGCGCTGCTCTACGCACGGGCCACAAGTCTCAATGAGCAATGGGGGGACCCAGCACCTCCCCGGGCTGCATCCGCAGACAACGCCCCGTCCTGCTCCAGGGCTGCTCCACAAAAACAGCCCCTCTGTGGGGAGGCCAGCCCTCTGTGCCCTGCGGCGAGGACGGCAGCGTCCCTGGTGCCAGGAGGAACTCCGGGTCTATAGGTTCTCGCCGGGCTGGTACTGGGGCTCTGTCGAGGTGAAGTAGTCCTCCAGGAAAGCCTGCAGGTACTCGAAGGTGGGTCGCTCCTCCGGGTCCTTCCGCCAGCACTGGCACATGAGGTCGTGCAGGGACTCTGGGCACTCGGGCGGGCAGGGCATGCGGTACCCTCGCTCCACCTGATCCAGCACCTCCCGGTTCACCATCCCTGCGTGCCAGAGGAGACATGGCATTGATCAGAGCCGGGCCAGGTCCTGCACTGTGCCTGTCCCAGGGGACACACCAAGGGTGCCGTGCTGGGACACCCCTCAGGGGCAACCCCAGTGACCCACGGAGAGAGAAATGCCCCCAGCCCAAGAGCATCTTTTCCCTGCCAGCCTGTCACCTTGCTCTGGGCTAGAGCGAGACGGGGTGGCTGGGACCTTGCATCCTGGCCAATCTCTGCTCACCCCAGTGGGGAGGATCCGACCTGGGAAGGGGCAGCTCAGCCCCAAAGGGCAGGAGAAACTTTGCATCAGTTTGTTACTCCACTCTGAGGGCCACGGAGTGCCAGGAGTAAACTCTGGGCATGAGCAGCTGGCATTGGGCACTGCAATAGGGACAGGGCTTCTGCTGGTGGGTGCCAGCCCTCACCTGGGTACGGCACTCTGCCCTTGGTGGTCAGTTCGGTCAAGAGGATGCCAAAGGACCAGACATCTGACTTGATGGTAAACCTTCCATAGAGAGCTGCTTCAGGGGCCGTCCACTTGATGGGGAACTTTGCACCTGGATGGAGAGGTAGCGTGAGGGGCTGTGTGGGGCCACGAGTGTCTCTGTGCAGTCAGAGCCACGTGTCGGCTCCAGACACAACACACACCTCTGGGGACCAGGGACCAGTGGCCATTGCTCTGGTGCCACCTGCCTGGGCACCTCGAGGGACACGCACCTTGACGAGCAGTGTACTCGTTGTCCTCGATGAGACGTGCCAAGCCGAAGTCAGCCACTTTGCAGACCAGGTTCTCCCCCACGAGGATGTTGGCTGCCCGCAGATCCCGGTGCACGTAGTTCATCCTCTCCACATAGGCCATGCCAGATGCGATCTGTGGGGACCAGCACATGGGGCATTGAGGCTGACAGGGTGACACAAGGGTTCCCGGGGAGTGCCCAGCAGCAAAGAGGGGAACAGCTCTGCAGTGGCACCCAGCTGGGGTGTGGGAACAACCAGGTGCTCAAACAACCCCATGAAGACACGGCTTTGCTGGCCAGGGAGAGCCAGTGGCAACAGGAATGGGCAAAACGACGGTCCCAGACTGCAACCCAGCTCCAGGCTGAGACCCAGGGGGACCACAGCACCCACCCGAGCAAGGCTGCACAGCACCCCACTACCTGACCAGTGACAGCTGTGACAGCCCAGCGAGGGGCTCAGGCAGCCAGTGCCCTTGGAGGGGGATGCAGGACACCCAGGGATGCACAAACCCACCTGAGCCGCCATATCCACGAGCTGGGGCAGCCGCAGGTACTTGCCCATCTCACCCTTCAGGAAGTCCAGGAGGCTCCCTGTGAGGAAGACCATGGTCAGAGCAATGGGGAGGAGCAGTGTCCCTCAGCCACACCCTTGGTGTCCCTCCTGTGCTCACCCTTGCTCATGTACTCGGTGACAATGTAAATGGGCTCCTCTGAAACCACGGCGTAGAGCTGAACCAGCTTCTCGTGCCGGAGCTTCTTCATGACCTGGGCTTCCTGCAGGAAGGCCTCCGGGGACATGGTGCCAGGCTTCAGTGTCTTGATGGCCACCCGGGTGGTGCCATTCCAGGTCCCTGTGGCACAGGACACGCGGCTCAGGACACAGGGGCAGGGGGTCGTGTCCCTCACCTGCTCCCCCACCCCACTGCAGGCTCCGGGCACCTGCAGATGGCTGGGGACAGGATGCAGGTGGTGACAGGGAGGGGACAGCAGGGAGGGAATGCTCCTTACCCATCCACACCTCTCCGAAGCAGCCCTGTCCCAGCTTGACCTCCAGCCGCAGCGATTCCCGGGGGATTTCCCAGGCATCCTTGGCAAGGCCTTGGGTCTGGGGCTTGGATGTGGGGCAGACGTTGGTGAGACGGTGGCACAAGCCATCGGCGTGTTCTAGTAAAGGAACGGCAAGGTGACACTTGGGCTTTTAGGCACGTGATGTCTTTACCCCACATCCTCCCAGCAAACACCTCGGGGACCAGTACCCAACCCTGTGCCCTAAAACCCAGGCAGCTTTTCACCAGGATCCCACACAACTGGTTTGGGGTTCCCCAGCCCTGTGCTGGCTTCCCAACAGCACCCGCCCTGCAGCGAGAGCAGGCACAGCACCCCGGGTGCCACCAGACCCCAAGGGGACCCTGCATGGCTACCCACTGGAGTAGTAGGCCACCAGCTGCTGCAGGCTGTTGAACTGGGTGCGGGAGGTGATGTAGAAGCCGCCGCTGTCCAGCTTGCGGATCTTGTAGTGCTTCACGTTGAGCCCCTTGGCGTTGTCGAAGTCGGAGACAGAGAGGCAGTAGGCACCTGTGGGCAGGAGCGAGGGGCTGGGGGAGACGTGCTGCAGGCAGGAGCTCCCCATGGGGTCCCACGGAGGGGGGGCATGGAGGAGGCAGGACTGGGCATGCAGGCTCCCTCTGTCACCCAAAGAAGAGGATGGGGAGCAGCTCCTGGATGCCCCAGCTGGCACCTGGTGCCAGGGAGGGATGGCACGTACCCCTGGCTACAGCCACAACATGCAGTCACAACCTCCAGCTGCCCCCTGCTTGCACAGCAGCTCTGCCAAGCCTTGCCACCAGCCATCCTATGGGATGTACTAACCAGGGGCATTGTCCCCCAGCTCCCCCAGACCTGTCAGGTCCTTCTCTGCAGCAGGAGATAGGACCAGATGGGAGGCAGGCTGGGGCAGGCTCCTGACCCACCACCTCTACATCTCAGCATCTCAGAGGGGAGCCAAGGGCTGGTGGGCCTAATTCCCTGGTCCAAAAACACCCCTTTGGGATCTTGGCTCTGCTCTGCCCATACAAGAACAACACAGTGCTGCTGGGGCCACAGAGAGCAGAGATGAAGATTTATGCTGCTGCTTGAATGAGCTGCTTCCACCAGAATAAAATAACTAGTGATAAGTTCAAGGCATAAAAACAGAGAGGCACATCAAGGGGCTTTTCCCAAAGGTGCATTTGGAGCCACGTTTTCAGGTAAGAAACAGCATCCTCAGGCAGTCAAACCTCAAAGATCACAACTCACACTTTTGGGAGATATAAAACAAGTATAAAGAGTCGTCAGACTTGAAAGAAGGATTAAAGTTCATCGCTCCCTCGGCCTGCGTGCCCAGGAAGCACATGTTCAAGATATTGCCACTATACAGGGACCAGGGAAAACCAAAAAAACATCTACTTGGGGGTAAAGAAAAAAAAACAGGAAAAAAGAGCATCCTGCCAGGTGGTTCTGCTGGGGATGGAGAGGCTCCCAGCTCCCACCCTGCCATGAGCTGAACCATCTCTCTGAAGGGTGCCATGGGGCTGGGAGAGAAGTGGCCACGTCCCCCCAAACCATGGGCTCAGTGGTGTAATGGTGTGTTCAGCACAGTCACTGGGGATGTGATGGGGGCAGCAGCACTGGCTCCCTGGAGATCAGCACTGGCAGGGGAGATCCCAGGAGGCTGCCCATGCTGAGGGGCATCGTTCAGCAATGCCAAACATCGTCTCCTGTCTATATGGTATAACCTTTTTCTCCTCCTCCCTCCCCCCATGCCTAAGCTGGGGAACTTGGATCCCACAGAGTGACTGAGGGGACTCAAGGTACCCCCACACCCTTTAGAGAGGGTCTCTCTGAGGCCAGTCCCCCCCAAACCCGCTCACCTTTCGTGGTCTCACTCTCCCGGACCAGGAAGGTCCCTCGGGGGTTTTCGGGGTTGAGCAGCAGCCGCTCGGACTCCCGGCGAGTGATCTTCCCAAAATACCACCTGCAGGAGCAAGGCAGCAGCTCAGCACCCGGCACATCCCCACCCCCTCCACTGCCTGCCCAAGCAGGGGCCTCAGCCCCAGCCTCCACATCCCAGGTTTTGGAGACCAGGGGCTGCACCTCTGGGCTTGGGTGCCTCAGGGTGTGCCTTGTCCCCGTCCAGCCCAGGCTGGGCATCGCCCAAGGAGCAACCCTGCTCCACAGGCCCTGGAACACCTTCACTCTGAAAGCCTTCCCAAATGGGATGCCTGAAGCCCCCCAAGCTCTTGCTGAGGGATACCACGCTGCTGGCTGGGAAAGGGACATAGCTGGCACCTCCTGCTCTGAGACATTTGGCTTTTCCCCTGCCTGCTCTCCCTGTGTGACAGCTCCCTCCACACTCAGCCTGATCTGCACAGGTGGAGCCAGCAGTGCGTCCATGTGGAGGAGTAAAATCATAGAAACATAGATTTGGGTTGGAAGGGACCTTAAAGATCACCTCGTTCCAAACTGCCTTCCTGCCACACCTTCTATTAGACCATGTTGTTCAAAGCCCCATCCAATCTGGCCACGAAGACTTCCAGGGATGGGGCAGCCACAGCTTCTCTGGGCAACCTGTGCCAGGGCCTCACCACCCTCACAGGGAAGAATTTCTTCCTAACATCTAATCTAAATCTCTCCTCTTCTCGTTTAAAACCATTTCCCCTTGTCCTCTCACAGGCCCCTCTGCCCACGCAAAAAGTCACTCTCTCTCTCTTTTATGAGCCCCCTTTAAGTCCTGTAAGGGTGCAATGGAGCTTTCTCTTCCCCAGGCTCTCCATAAAAAACAGACCAAAAGCATCCACGGCCCCACTGTGCCACTGCTCCCCCTCCACCACGCAAGCACGCTGCACCACTGCACTCGTGGGCCTTAAAGGAAGGCTGGAAAACATTTTTGGGGTTTGCACACTCAAAGGGGAAAACAGCAAAGAGGAAGGCTTCCCCCAGGATGGGGCAGGGGCAGGGAGGAACACTTGGGGTGAGTTTGCTATCGCTCTTTTTTGAACTGTCTAAAAGATGGCAATTACTCTTCAGCCTGGATGGAGTCTGAGGGCGCGACATAGTTACTGGGGATGTAGCCCGTCTGTCCTGTAGTGAGGGAATGAGCCAGCCACCAGTCACCTTCCCTGCAAGAGAACCAAAACACACTCAGTGTGAAGCCAGGAGCCCCCCAGCCAGCCCCTCGCCCGCCCACAGGCACCGGGGGAGGACGAGCCAGCGCAGAGCCCTGCCGGGAAGGGGGACAGCCCTGCAGCCCCAGCCCCACAGCCAGACCCCAGCCAGGAGTGCTCCTGCTGCCAGCCCCTGCCCATGGCTCCATCTGGGTGAGCTCTTATTAGTGGGGCCACCCATTTGCATATGGGATGAACTTTAAACTTAAACTGAGCAGGGCAGTCCTGAGCCAGAATACCTTCAGAGCCACCTGAACGGGAACGGGGTCTGGCTGGAGGTTGTGAGGCATTGGGGGTCCCAGCAGCAGGACAGGGGGGAGCAGCAGGCGAGGGGAGGGAGGGGAGACGGGGAGAAGCAACAGAAGGATGGCAGCAATTAACAAAGGCACCAGGAAAACCCAGGAGAGTTAGTTAAATACAGGCTGCAGAAAAGCAACAGGAAGGGGCTGAGGTTTGGGCAGGGGGTGAGCCCTGCCCAGCAGTGATGCCCAGCCTGGATGCAGTGGGATCTGTCTAGCCTGGGTGCCCTGCTCACAGCCCCAGGATGGGCACCCCACGTGGCTGCAGCCCTGACCTGAGCTTCGTGCAGCCCCACAAAGGGTGGGCTCTGCCTGCACAACCGTGAGTGTGACTTGTCCCCAAAAACCTGGGGCTTAGCCACCATCCATCCCTCCAGCCCTAGGATCAGCAGCCCCAGGCACGTCCCCAGGAGCAGGAGTCTCTTCCCCACTCTGCCCTCCTGCCCACCAGGCTCCTGCTCCAGACAGGGCTGGAGAGGAATGAATAGAGAGGAACAAGAGGACAGCAGGAGGCGGCTTCCCCTTCCTGCAGACAGCAGGGCTCTTCCTCCCACCACCTGCATCTTCTTGCCCATCAAAGACAGAGTCACCAAACTCATCCTGACCACAAGGGAGACGAGGCTACAGGAAAACTGCAGATTCGTGGGAACAGCCCCGTAAGGATGCAGGAACTTGGCAGGACAACCTCCACAAACGTTACAGAAAAACACTAATAACCTCAGTCACCACTGCAGGGCTCATCAGACCACATCCAGACCCATCCCTGACCCTGCAGATGTGTAAACCTCCATCCTCACTCCAGACACACCAGCAGCTAAACCAGCAATGCTTCCAAGTGGTCAGGAGAACCCAGACACGGCCCCCAGCTCCCCACAGTGGTGTCAGTGGGGCAGGGGACAGCAGGGACCTTCCAGGCCTCTCCTCCCACCCACAGAGCTGGGCTTTGCCCCTGGACCAGCCTGGCAGCAGCCCTGGATGGCACTTCAGCCTCTCCCAGCCCCAGCACAGTGCATGGCAGGCAGCTTGGGCTCCCCAGCCAGGGCTGCTGCCCCAGTCACCTTTACTGAGGGGGCTCTGAAAGCTGGTTGGGCTCTTTCCCACAGGGCCAGAGTAAACATCTGCTTGAAAAATGCCCAGCTTTTGACTCGTGGCTTCATTCCAGCTTGGGCTGCAAGGCTGCAAGCTGGGAATTCAGCAAAAACAAACTATTCCAAAAATATCTCAGTGGGGAAAAAAATAATAATAATCATCATCATCAAAACAAAGCATTTCAACAATTCCCTGCACAATCTTACCCAAAATATCCCACCACATCCCTGCTGGCTGCCAGCTGGCTGGGAGGAGACCTCCTCCCACTGGAAATGGGACCACGAGAGCCTTTCTGCACTGGGGGGGACTGGGAGGCTGACGTGGAGCAGGGATCTCAGTGATGTGGAAGCTTCTCCTTCTGTCCTGCACAACCCTGGTTAAGTCAGAGCAGCCAAAACCTGCCACCACCCTGCAAAGCCACTACGGCCATGGGCTCCTGCTGTGCCCAGGACCTGCCAGCCCTTCCCAGACTGACCCTCCCCACAGCTCCAGGGATGCCCTGCCAGGGAGCCTAGAGGAAGGGGACATCACACGCCTGCCTGTTGCTGTCCCCAAAGTGCAGCAGCCTGAGCTGTTCCCAGACGGTCCAAGCATCTCTGGGAACTCAATGAGAAGAGTGATTCACGCCCTGAGCACTGCACAAACTGCCCAGCTTCCTCCACTGCCTCTCTCCCTGTGGACATCCCACCCACACAGACACTGGGAAGGTCAGCAGCTACATCCTGCACCCTCCACCAAAGGGCTGTGTCACCAAATGAAGCCCTTTTGCCCCCCAGGATGCTGCAGAGCCCATCACAGCTCGACCCTTCCCTCTGAACGATAAATAGAAGCAGAGGAAAAAAAAAGTGTGGAAACCTCAGAAGTGATATGAGGTGTAAAGAAAAAACCCACATATATGGTCCTGGTCTGGACCTCCACGAGCAGAGCTCACTTTGCAACAGCCCAAACTCAAGCATAGGGCACTTACACTGCTGAGGCTGAAAGTAAGAAGCCCCCAAACCCCCAAATTCAGGCTTTTCCTGTAGCATTGAAGCCCTGAGCATCCTGGACTTCATGGATGAAACAAATCACCCTTAATAAACAGCACTGGAACAATGAGAACAAGGATCAGATTGAAAACATGTTTGTGCAACACTGCCCGAGCATTGCAGGAGAAATCTCACTCCCAGGGTGTTTCCTCATCTTTCCACTCTTTGACCTTGCAAAGCTGTTTTGGGTGCCCAGGTTGGAAGGCAGCAGTGGAGGGGAATGGGAGCTGGAGACCCTCAGGACCCTGTGACAGCTCCATGCCTGGGGACACTGGCTCTGCCAGCCAGGCTCCAGACCATGTGTGCCATGTTAGGACAGACCACCCATGGATTTAATAACACAGGATCATGTTTAGGAGCATCTTCCAGCTGGCCACGCTGCCCTGCTCTACAACAGCACGTGATGTGTGTGCTGTGGTGACCAGGACGGGGAGCAAATCAGGGGGTCAGACCCCTAAGGACATGCTTGAGTCCCCAGAGTCACTCATGAAAAATAAAAGTATAACTAAAAAATGAAAAAAAAAAGGGCAAAAAAGGCCAGGAGGAAGTGAAGAGCCAACTGGAAAGGAACTGCAGAGGGGAGCCAGGCACAGAAAAAGAAAGGGGCCAGGTTCAGAGCTCCCAGGTGCAGACACAGCTCTGGGTGGAACAGTTCCCCAGCATGGGAAGAGACTCCCTGCTCTGTCCCAGTTCCTCAAGGAAAACAAACCCAACTGACCACAAAACCATTGGTAAACCATCTCCTCCCAGCCCTGCTCCAACCAACCTGCTCTAATGTGGGCAGCAGATGGGTTTTGATCATGTAGATCATTAATAATAACAGTAATAATGTGCCATACACACCTGACATCCACTTTCCTCCTAAGTGACAGCATGGAGGGAGAGAAAGAAGAGTCAAGAGAGAAGGTGAGACCAGAGACAGCTTGCAAGCACAGGGGAAAGCACCCGTGAAGTTGAGGAATGTGTCCAGGTAAATGAGAGGGAGCTGAGCACGGACAGGGACGGGGGACCAGTGGGGACATGGCCCTGTGTTGGAGGGCACAGACTGGCCAGCAAGCTGAGGAGGCAGCTTGGTGACAAGGCTGCCAGGCCACAGTGACCAGCAGCAGGGCTGGGAGGATGAGGAAGCAGGCAAATGATTGCTTCTAGCATCAGTGTCCTTGGACAAGTCACTGTGTCCGTGCACATTTGGGGGCTCTCTCTCTGAGCCCCCATCCCTGGGAGAGCTGGTCCTGCTGGGCTGGGCTGGGGGCTCTGCAGGAGGGACAGAGATGGCAGCTCACCACATGGGCATGGCTGCAGGGACAGGGACGGGGACACTCACGTGTTGTTGACAATTTGCAGGCGCTCTCCTTTCTTGAAGGACAAGTCCGTTTCAGTCCGGGACTCGTAGTCATAGAGGGCCACGAAGGTGGTGACTCCACCTGCGACACAGAGCTCTCAGCAGGGGCACAGCCATGGGTGCTGCTGCAGAACAGCGCTGGGTGCCCCTCACCAGGGATCCCCCTCTCCCACCATCCTCCCACGGGCCAACAACACACAGATCTGCTTCTCCCCCAAGCACAGAGTCCCTCAAAAGCAGAAGACCCCAAGAAGCTGGCCCTGAGCCCACAAAGACCCGACCGAGCCCCTCCCCGCCCTGCCGAGCCCCAGCCCACACCAACCAGCCAGTGCCCCGGCACGCTGCGGAGAGGTGACCGTGTCAGAGGTGTTGAAGCCTCCAAAGAGCTTGGGTTCAGCAGCCATGGTCCCGAAGGCGCGGCTGGGGGTGCGGTGGGCATCGGGGGCTGCCGCTTTGCTGGGCGTCTGCGAGGCTGGGTAACCCCCATGGTGGGTGTTGTCGGCGGGCTCCAGGCTGCGCCGGCGCTGGCTGGGGTCTTTGGGCTTGCTCTTGCTGCTCCCCATGGTCCCGGGCTGGAGGAGACACAGACACGCAGAGGGCCTCTGTTATTATCGCTGTAATTATTATTATTACAATTAGTAAGCAGAAGTCGCTCTCCAGGGCCTGGGTGACAGATGCCTGCCCACCAGGAAACGAAACAACCTCTGGAGTCTGTTCAAGCATCAGCTGCCGGGAAGTCTGGCCACCCTGCCCTTGCCCTGGGACAGCATCGCCCCTCCATAACACTGAGCCACCTCCTGCGTGGCCACAGCAGCCAGCGAAACACCAGGAGTGGAGTTTTCAGGACACACTTTGGGAGCAGAGGGAAGCACACTGAGCCCTGGGAATGTGGAGCGAGGATGCTGAGCATGGAGCCTGACCTGTGGTTGAGAGTGCAGCAGCTCCAGGGCCAGGCACCCGCTGTGGGATGCAGCTCAGTCCCACCCAGACGCGTTTCCTCGTGCATGGGAGTTTGTACCAGGGCGTGGACAGGAGAAAACAAGACACAGACAAATATCCACGTGCTTGGATTACTGTGACAACAGAAATTTGGAGAACCCACAGCTGCATCACTGCTGGCTCAGGATGGGGATTTAATTGCTGAACATGTACCTTTGAAGTCCAAAACATGCAGCAAATGGGATAAAAGCTTAAATCAGGAGCAGTTTCAGGCAGCTCACAGCTAAGGACCAAGGGATCTCAGCTTTATATATAGTCAAATAGTTTATATATATAGCCTTCCTTTCCACTCAAGATCACACTCTATAAATACCTTCAAGGTAATGATATAAATGAAGGAAGGGAATTATTTGCAGTCTCCAAAGATGGCAGGATACCCAGCAGTGTCCTGAAGCTATGGAAGGAAATATTTAGGCTAGATCACGCATGGCAGGAGGGAAAAGGGAGGTGGAGACAACCAGGGAGGAGACTATCTCTGATAAGAACACAGAAGCAGGGAAACAGCAGAGGAGGCAGCCACTGCCTGTGGGGTGTGGGACCTGGATGCAGCCACTAGTGAGGCTGTGCCAGGGGTTTTTCTAGCCCAGCTTTGGAGAGAATTCAGGCCAAACCCCCACGAGCAGGGCCAGAGCCATGGGCAGCCCCAGCAGCCTGCACAGCCCCAGTGTCAGTGGGGCAGAGCCCCTGGTTCCTGCCATGGGGAAGCTTAGGGGTGCCAGGCACAAGCTCTGCTCCCCTCCCAGCTCCCCTCCCCACAGTGCTCGGGGCTTATTTCCCAGAAGACACAACTTCCATCCACTCTTTTCCAGCTCCCACATTGTACAAGCAATGTACACAAGCAGAGTCCTGGTGTGACCCATGCTGGCAGGATCAGACCCTGACAGGGTCAGGGAATTGGAATAAACTGATTTTTTAGGAATTAGAATAAACTGCTAGGTATGACTCCAGAAGCCACTCCAGTGGGGAGAAGAGCTGTCGTTCCTCCTATGGATGCAGGAACAAGGAAGGACCAATGCCTCTATCTGCCACGGGACCCAGCCCACGTGTCTCTGTCCTGGACTTTGGGGTTCTCGAAGCAAAGAAAGGTCAAATATAAGCTCTGCACTGGCAAATTCAGAGGCACGTCCTGCAGCCAGGGGGGAGGGTGTCTGTCCCATAAATAAATGCACTTTAAAAGCCTGGTGCCGAAGATACTAAAGCAGAACTGCAGGGGAAAGCAGGACCTTAGAAGCAAAGAGAAGAAGCCCCAACCATCCCATCCCCAGCAAGCCCCTCTCTCACCTCTGCCCAGAGCTCCAGCACCCACTGGCACTCCTGGGATGGCAGCAGCAGTGCAGGGAGGAAAGTGGGGGCACAGTGGGGCTGTGACCGTGTGGCTTGTGACTGCCCACGCGACCGTGAGCAAGGGCAGAGCTGCTCAGAGTTTCCCCTGGAAACAGCACTTCCCCAGGCAGGAAAACTCCCTGGCTGGGGCAGCGGATTTAGCAGCACTTCGGGGACGCAAGTGTCCCCTGAGCACATCCAGCCTGGGTCAGCAAAGGATTTGTCAACATGCTGAGAAAATCAGAGTATAAAATACTCAGTATGCCCAGAGATTAGCCAGGACCACAGAGATGGGAGAGTGGATCCCCAAGGCACTTCCCCAAAGCAGGCGAGTCCTTGCCTTCACACCCGAGAGCCTGTGGGCACAGGATGTGTATCTCCCAGGCATGTCCTGGCCAGGGATGCCATGGACCATGAGATCATCCCTCCTGTGCAGTGGTTTGGGCAGGAGAGCTCTCCAATGGACATCAGAGCTCCCACCCTGCACTGGGGTGCTGATCCTCCTGGGCAAGGGGTTTGCTGGTCACCAGGACATGATGCTCCAACGGGGCCCAATGCAGGAGGAGGAGGAGCAGGAGGCATGAATCCATGGTCCTCTGGGGAAGGGGCTGCAGAGCAGCGAGCTCTGCTCCAAGCTCTCCTGTTGGTTTGCACATAAATACCTGCACGCTCTTGCTTCGACTTGGCTAGTGCAAAATGCAGGCTGGCAACCCCAAACTGTGCCCAGAGGCACTGGCAGCCTTGCACCATCCCCACTCTGAGTCCCAGGTAACTCAGCCCACAGGACCATATGGCTTTAGCCCTGTGGCTCTCCACCTGTCCCCAGGGAGGAGAGGGGTCTGAGAAATACCCTGTGACCCCAACATCCCCCTTGGCAGCCAGGGAGGAAAGGGTGCACATTCCCCTGGCAGAATGCAGGGTTGTGCAAGAGCCTGGCAAAGGAGTGATTAATGACAGCAGGAATGTGCTGTGCACTCAGGTCCTGGGAGGCACCAGGGAGAGACCCCCCTGCTTCCAGCAGAGCCATTGATGAACTCCCCCAGAGTCAAAGGGCAGACAAGGAAGGGGGTGAACCCACCACCCAATGTGGCAGCTCCCAGCACACCCCAGCAGCATCACTGGGGGCTGTGGGACAGCACTACAGCAGCCAGACTGCAAAAAATACCCATGGCCAGCAGCTGTGCTGTGTTTATGTCTAATAAATTTATGTCTAATAAAGACAGCATTTCCACACGCAGCAGGCTGCAGGGATGCTCAGCACCGCCAGCATCCAGCCAGGGCAGCCTGTCCAACGCCCAGTGGGATATTTCCCTGCTCCCTTGCTTTCCACAGCTGACAGTGCTGGGATGGGGGGCTCAGCATCACTCCCCACCCCGGCCAGTGCCTTGGTTTCCAGCAGGGCTTCCCTACTCCCCCTCCCAAGGCTTGTGTGGCAGGCTGGAGCACGGCCAGCATTCCCGTGCTCACTCTGACTGATGCGAGGTGGCGGACGAGGCAGCTTTCCTGCGGCGGGGATTAACACCCCGGGCACGTCGCAGCCTGCAGGAACTCCCTGCTTTCCGTTCCGGGGGGTCAGCGCCAGCAGCACATCGTGAACCACCACCGTGATGAGTTGCGAGGCCTCAGCTCTGCCCCCCCCGGGCCGGCCACGCCTCGGCAAACACCCAGGGAGGGTTCAGCCTTTGGCACCTGCACCCAGCCCCCAGCCCACCCACAGATGCTCAAAGGCCAAATCGGCTGTGGCTGTGCACCCAGGGCCCCAGATCTGAGCCCCCCCGGCAGGTAAAGTGGCCTGGTTCCCCCTCCCCGGGCCATCCGCGATGCCTTACCAGTGCTTTCGGCTACAGCCTCGCCGCGGGGTGGGGAGGTGCCGCCGGCCAACTCAGCTCAGCTCCCGCCGCAGCCTGTGAGACAAGGGAACATCAGTGCCCGCGGCAGCACCCGCGCCCCCGACCGTGCCCTCTGCCCCCGCCACAGCCGGTGCCCAGCACTGCCACTGCCACTGCCACTGCCCTCCTCCTCCTCCTCCTCCTCCTCCTCGCCACCCCTCCAGCGCGGGGCCGGCAGCTCACACCCGCCCGCTCTGATCTTCTCTCATGTGTGAAGAGGGGACGATTCTCTGCTCCACTTCATCAAACCCACCGGGGACGGGAGAGGAGGTGGCTGCAGCCGCCCCGGGCGATGTCCCAGGATGGGAGGGAAGCGTGGACACCCCCAGCGCAACGAGTGATTTTTCAGGAGAGAAACAAAGCCAGTTCCTCCAGACACACCAGCATTTTCAGCTCTGCTGCTCCATCTCTGGACAGCCAGGACCTGCGGCAGGGAGGGTCGGCTACCAACTGGGGACCTTGTCCCCTGGGATGAGTCACCTTCTCCACTCCCAAAAGCACAGACAGATGCTACAGTACGAACCATGCACAAGGTCTGGGAGGCAACATGTGCTGCTGAAGCTCTGACTCAGCCAAAAAAGGACATTTTAGCTAAATTTTTCTAAAAGGACAGTTTTCTGTCACAAAATCATGCAATGGTGCGACACTTAGCAGCAGTGGCTTGGGGCAGAGTTTCAAGTGGAAAGCAGACCAGGACACGGCCCTGCAGAGTCAGGGCTGCACCTCACCTGGCTCTGCCACCCCTTCCCATTCCCCAGATCCTGCAGGAACTGCCTCTGCTCCGCTCTCTCCTACCAAAAGCAAAATCTCTCTCCAACCAGCCCTGCTCACCCAGTGCTGAGCAGAGCCTTGAGCTGCTCCTGAGGGGCTCCTGCTCCTGGATGGAGGGGATTTAGCCCCCACAGCTTCACAGCCCTGAGCACCACCCCAACAGGCTCCTCTCCCAGCTGGAGCCCAGGTTTCACACCTCATCCAAGGGGAACATCCCGGTGGCTGCCATGCAGGGGCCATGCCCCACCGCAGGTTTGTTTTGATGGCCTCCCCTTCCCGCTGTTAATAAGTTTTGTCACTATTTTTAGTGCATTTGATTAGGATAATGAGCAGGAGCTGACTGACAGCTCTTCAAGACGTTGAATGGTTTGTAATTTGTACTTGACGAATACTCGCTGGCAATGATTGCACAGCGGGATGGAAGGGGAAAGCCGCAGCCCCAACTCCAGGCTGCAGCACATACAAATAAGGCTGTGCCAGCACACACGTGGTGCTCGTGTCCCCACCACCCAGGCATGCTGTGACATGGGCTCCCAGGCACACACTGCGAGGCCATGATCATGACCGGACCAAATAGGGCCAAAAAAGCCATGAGGGAAACCCAAATAGGCCTGAGCTTGGAGCCAGCCATACACTGGGTGCTGAGGTGCCAGGTCCTGCAACAGGGAAGGGACAGGTCCCCATGTGGATGGATGCACTTGCAACTTCACAGTGCCAGGCTTGGGTGTTTGGTGGCTGAAAGTGGCTGCTGTGGCAGCAGCCTGGCACTGCCTGGCACATCTGGCACAGCCCAGCACAGTCCTGCTGCTCACTTGGCAGAGGTGCTGCCATCCTCACCAGCATATCACTGACATAGCCATGGCCAGGCTCAGGCAACTGGCCAGTGCTGCCATCCCCACCTATCTCTGTGTGCTGCTGGCTCTGCATTAAGGGTCTTCCCGGCCCCCCATCCCTCCCCAGCTGGAGGGGAGAATGCCAGGGCTGAGCCCAGCCATGCACCCTGCCTGGGGCAGAGGCTGCAGCAAGGAGAGGCCAACCCCGCCCTCCCCTCTCCAAAAGCAATTAAAAATGAGGCACACTTGGCTGCACAACTCAGCTCGGATCAGATCACGGCACGCGAGACAGTGGCGTCCCCATCCTCCCCCGCCGGCGCTGGGAACGCCGCCTGGACTGCCCAGCATTCCCACACCTCCGCGCTCCAGGGTCAGACCCCCCGAAAATCAACTGGCAAGTTGGGTGGCAGGAAAGGCTCCATCCTCTGCCCTACCTCCCTGCAGCAGAGATGCTCTGGCAAAGGCAACAGCGAGGGGAACCGTCTGCCCTCCCGGCGAGTCCCGCTGTTTTCCGCCGCGCCTGGATCGCTCAAGGATACAATGGCCGTGGAACGGGCAGGCTGACAGCGGGCTGGCGGCGAGGGGAAGCGATCTTACCGTCCTTGCAAAGACACTAACAAAAGACACTGATTGGGAGCAGACAAAACACAGCAGAGGCAGAAACCTTGGGAAATGCAGCGACAGGCTGGGGCCCGATACCAGACACCAAGCCTTGGGGAGGGAAACAGGCTCTGTCCTTGGGGCTGCTCTGGGGCCGGGTGGGTGCTGAGCGGCACTGCCAGCAGGTGGGACAGGGGTAATGAGGAAGAGCAGGGCAAGGGGCTGGGGCAGCAGCACCCGCCCGCTGATGGAGGAAGCCGAGCTGAGCCGTGTCCTCGGCTCGCAGAGCCCCGGCGAGATTAATCACGGCAACTGTCTCACACCAGACTGAAAAATGAAGCGTGCGGGACGGCGGGCGAGACAAAGCAGCCTGGCGGCACCCAGCCCATGGCAGCAGGCACTGGGGACAGGGAGAGGCAGAGAGCGGCGATCCCAAACCCATCGGACCCCTCCCTCCCCTTTGCACACAACCAACCCCATCCCAGCAGCACTGGGGTCCTGCTGGGGCAGATCCGTGCAGCACAAATGGAAACCACATATGAGGTGTGCCATTTAAACCAGAGGTCCTGTGCTGGGGGCCCTTCGCCATCCCCTGTGTCCCCCTGCGTGGGTGGCACAGTGACAGGTGACAGCAGTGCTGCCCCTGCCATTGTGGCCCCCAGACAGTGGGGTCAGTGCCAAGGGTGATGAATCACCACGGTTTAGTCAGTGCTGCTGTAACCACATCGAGATGGTCTTTTAATCATGTTAAGGTGGCCCCCCATCCCTCTCCCCACATCACCCCCTGCTCCCTCCCCACGTTTCAGTAGGAGATGCAGCTCCGGACATGCTCGCACAGCAGTTTCCCCCTCGCTCCCAGGGGATGCTCCCGGGTTTGCCCTTTCCCACGGCAGCATCACGGCCTGGGGCCAGCGAGCGGCAGCACAGCCCCCAGTGCTTTGGGGTGCTCCAGCTCAGCCCACCATCCTCTCTGTCACCCGAATACAGCCTGTGAAAAAAGTGATTCCTGTCCCCTGTCCCATGCCACCAGGCTTTGCTCAGTACAAAAAGGGGAACACAGGCACATCTCTGCCAGGCTGGGACCTGCCCTATTACAATGAGTCCCAGGTGGTGTGAAAAGTGGGAGCTGCTCCCTCAGCCCTGCAAAGTGGGGTGTGATGCTGCAGACACTCTCCCTGTCCAGCTGAAGTAGTGAAGGCATGTCTGGACTGTGCCGTCAGCCCTTCTCCACAAGGACACTTGTTTCTCACTTGCACTGATTCCTAAAACAGGAGAAGCAATGCAGAGATGCTCCCTTCATCTCGGCTCCACTTTGGGGACAAGCCACAGGCAGGTGCTCCCAGTGCCTGTCCGGGACCTCCACTTTGCTCAGCTGACTGCATGTCAAAGGTACCTGAGCTAAGGTGCCTCTGCCCTCCCCTGGGTCCCCCCCACTGATGGAGAGCTCTCCCAGATGAAGGAATGGCTGGAGGAGCAGGGCAGCACAGCTGCTGCGTGGGGGCCCAGCTAAACACTCCCCACAGATATAAGTCCCAGCCCCTCCTACCTGACCCTGTCAACTCCTGTTAAATTTAAAACCATCTTAATTAAAGCTTCACAGCCCAAGCAAGCAGAGGCCAGTTTGTCACAAAAGGGGAAAGGATAATTAGACCAACCATCCAAATTTACTCCCCCCAAGCACGGGGGAGAGCCACAGTCAGGAGCGGTTCAGATTGCCTCCGACAAGACATGTCAAAACAGGGAGTTTAAAAGACCAAAACAAACCCCCAAGAAGCACAGAAGCATGCTCAGGATGTTCATCTGGCCAAGAAACTGGGAAACTCCAACTGTGAACACAGAAAGCATGCAGGGAGCTCCAGCTCTCCCCACCATCACAGGGCCGGCCCCTTGACAGGCAGATTTTGGCTCTCCGTGGCCATGGGCAGCGGCTCTGCCAACACCAGTGGCTGCACACAGCCCCTCAGCCCCACTACCCCCTCAGCACCCCAGAACTGGATAAGGGCAGGGGCAGCCCCACGGTGGGCACCCTGCAAACACCATCTTGCACAGGGCTGGCAGGAGAAAGCCACAAGCCTTATCTCCCCAAAACAATGCAAGTGGCTGCCCAGAGGGAGCAGGATGTGCTGCAAGTTGTGCTTGCTGGTGCCGAGCGCGCTCTCAAGCCTTTTTCTCCCCCAGGGGATGGGAGAAGGGAAGGTGGCCTTTGCCACACCTTGTCACACCCCCATCACTGCACTGCAGCACACCTGGGTACCAACAGGATCCATCAGTGTGTGGGTGCATCCCTTCTGCACTGCAAGGGCATCCAACAATTGGAGAAGGGAAAACAAAGCTTTCTCACCCCGAGGGCGGTCCAGGACAGGAACAGGGGCCACGGTGGTGGTAGGATCTCTGGCAGGAGGTGCTCAAAGCTGGCTGGGTGCTGTGCAGCCCGGTTGTGCTGGCGCTGCTCCGTGTCAGAGCAGGGATGCCTACCACTGCCTCCCAGCCTGACTCAGCCTGTGCTTCCAGCATTCCCACCAGGACACCAGCCAAAGCCAGGAATTGCCCAATCAGCTCCAGCAAATGCTTTCCAAGGCACACAAAGCCTCTGGCCTGCATTAACCTGAAGCCAGCTTCTCCTAGACAGGTGATGAGGGCACTGCTCTCCTCCTGCCAAATCCAGGAGAAGGAAAGCGAAAGGAAATGCTTCCAAGGGCAGGAGCACCTGTGGGGCTGGTAAGAGCCAATGCTGGGCAGGGAAACACTGATGTGGAGCTGGGGTGGCACTAGGAGCTGGAGCTCTTGGCCACCAGGACTGCCTGGAGCCAT